TTTACATGTAGCTGTCCAGTTTTCCCAGCACCACTTATTGAAGAGGCTGTCTTTTCTCCATTGTATATTCTTACCTCCTTTATCAAAAATAAGGTGACCTGTTCCATTGATCCATCTTTCTGTTTTTGTGCCAGTACCATACTGTCTTGATTACTGTAGCTTTGTAGTATAGTCTGAAGTCCAGGAGCCTGATTCCTCCAGCTCTATTTTTCTTTCTCAAGATTGCTTTGGCTATTCAGGGTCTTCTGTGTTTCCATACAAATTGTGAAATTTTTTGTTCTAGTTCTGTCAAAAATGCCATTGGTAGTTTGATAGGGATTGCATTGAATCTGTAGATTGCTTTGGGTAGTATAGTTCTTTTCACAGTGTTGATTCTTCCAATCCAAAAACATGGTATATCTCTTCATCTGTTTGTGTCATCTTTAATTTCTTTCATCAGTGTCTTATAGTTTTCTGCATACAGGTCTTTTTTCTCCTTAGGTAGGTTTATTCCTAGATATTTTATTCTTTTTGTTGCAATGGTAAATGGGAGTGTTTTCTTGATTTCACTTTCAGAGTTTTCATCATTAGTGTATAGGAATGCCAGAGATTTCTGTGCATTAATTTTGTATCCTGCTACTTTACCAAATTCATTGATTAGCTCGAGTAGTTTTCTGGTAGTGTCTTTAGGATTCTCTCTATATAGTATCATGTCATCTGCAAGCAGTGACAGCTTTACTTCTTCTTTTCCGATTTGGATTCCTTTTATTTCTTTTTCTTCTCTGATTGCTGTGGCTAAAACTTCCAAAAGTATGTTGAATAATAGTGGTGAGAGTGGGCAACCTTGTCTTGTTCCTGATCTTATTGGAAATGGTTTCAGTTTTTCACCATTGAGAACGATGATGGCTGTGGGTTTGTCATATATGGCCTTTATTATGTTGAGGAAAGTTCCCTCTATGCCTACTTTGTGGAGGGTTTTTATCATAAATCAGTGTTGAATTTTGTCGAAAGCTTTTTCTGCATCTATTGAGATGATCATATGGTTTTTGGTCTTCAGTTCGTTAATATGGTTTATCACATTGAGTGATTTGCATATATTGAAGAATTCTTGCATTCCTGGGATAAACCCCACTTGATCATGATGTATGATCCTTTTATTGTGCTGTTGGATTCTGTTTGCTAGTGTTTTATTGAGGATTTTTGCATCTATGTTCATCAGTGATACTGGTCTGTAGTTTTCTTTCTTTGTGACATGTTTGTCTGGTGTCGGTATCAGGGTGCTGGTGGCCTCGTAGAATGAATTTGGGAGTGTTCCTCCCTCTGCTATATTTTGGAAGAGTTTGAAAAGGATAGGTGTCGTTTTCTCTTAACACAGTCAGGAAAGATGTCTTGTGGTGAGGAAGTAGCACCTTACTGTGTTTGTTGTTACAGAGAATAATTTTCTTTCAACCATCTTTCAAACAGTTGTCATTTTAAAAATATTTGTATTTTTGTTTCACACGAATATAATTCTTCCAAAATTCATTTATGAATGTAGCACACATATGCTATTTGGAACATGAGTAAATGATTCCAGAATTTCAACTGAAATAATAAACAAGTGAGAAAGACTGAGACACTGGAAAAGATGAAGGGTGAGGAGACATTTGACCTATGAGAACTCTAAAAATATTTTGAGCCATATAGTTAAAGCATTATGGTTGTTTTTTGTTTTATTTTTTGCAGAATTAATGTAAAAAAAAAGTTGCATGAGAATATGTTGCCTTTAAATAGGCACATGAGTGCATATGTGTGTGCTTCTAAAATTCTATGTATATGAGTTAGGTATATGATAAAGGTACCGACACAGACCAATGGGAACTGGATGTATTATTCAACAGGCAAAAGGCTAATCAGGCCATCTAGGAGTTGATTCTTCTCAAGTTTCCTTCAAGATCGCTTGTGCTCTCATGGGTGCATAGTTTTAGTCAGTAAAATGAATGATTAGAGACCTTGGGGTCTAAACTATCTCAACCTGTTCTCAACCATTTCCTGGGTAAGAAGCCCAGCCAGTATCTCATGGGCCACCTTTTGTCGGCGGAACAGTGCTGCCGGATGAACAGAATAAGGTGCCGGATGAGGTTGCTCATGACACCCCAGGAAAGATGATAGCTGGTGCAGAAGCAGGACAGTGGCCATCACGTGGTTTGAGAAGGGCCTCGGCAGCCTGGATGTCCCTCTTCAATGGGAGTGTGTGTGAAGTAGGGCCACTGCCCTTAGCCTTGAAGCCTATGGCATGGGCTTCTGATGGACCACACAAATTATATTAGCGCCTGCCAGTTTTCATAAAAGGCCATGAGAAGCTGTATTGGACAGTTATGTATATTTTACAGCACTTAATGGCTACAGAATTTCTTATCATTATTTAAGCACATGAACCTCCAAGGAAAATAGTCATTTATTCTCAAGTCAGTGCACCTTTTCAGAAAACACCCGTTTCCGTATAAAATAAGGATACTTTACAGATATTTAGAGTTGGAACATTTAACTGTGGGTTCAACAGATGTCTGTTTGGAGTATATTCAACAGAACTTACCCGAAGAAGTTGCCATAGAAGTTCCTAAGACAAAATTAAAACAGTTACCAGGGGCCTGCAAATAATCAATTTGAGAAACAGGACCTGCGGAGAAAAAAAGCATCAAGTTATACAGAGGCCACTTCTACCTGTGTTTGGGATGAGACTTGACAAGATCTGTACCTTTCAAAATTGGGACTGTTTACCCAGAGAATTATCTCAAGTCCTCCTTAGCTGCCTTGTTGTGTCCACAGGCCCTGGTCAGTTGAGAGCCGGAATTGAACTTTAATGATAGGATGGACTACAGTGAAATAGCTCCCTCCCCTGCTATTTTATGTATTTTATTATTTTCACTCTGGTTGTAAACTGAGCAGACTGTTCTGACCACAGTGAATTTGAAGAATTGGATTTGTATTTGGTTGGGCCTCTGTTGTACAGTTGTTAGTATGTTTTGGTTTTCATGCCTGTCAGCTCATTCACCTGAAAATAAACATGTTTGAAGTATTTCTCATGTACATTTGTCTTTTTCTGAGCTTTCTGGAAGGAAGCTTTGGTTGTGTGATTAATTTAACCATGAGCATGTAAAATTTTTATACTCTCATGTGGTAATTTGGGGGGTGGTGACCTCCTGATTTTACCTCACTTAAACGTCATATTGTTTAAAGAGGGAAAACCCCTCAAACCTTTGAGTAGATGTTCTTATTTCCTCGTGTTATGGTTTAGCCACTCCAGATAGGCTAACTCGCTTGCCCAGTGGTTGCTGCGTGTTGGCACATAAAGGGGTCCTCAGGCTGACTGACCTGAGAGCCCCTCCACTCGTCTGCTCTCTGAGCCTGAGAAGTGACTCCTTCCAGAACGTTCGTTCCATCTCACTTGCTCTCGCGTCCCTTGCTCCCTCCCTTCTTTCCCTGGAACAACTTATTTTCTCCTTTTCCTTCCTTCTCTTTCCAGCTGTTATTCTGTCTTGCTCTTCCTGATCATCTCCAAATTCTTGAAAGGACAGTGTATCCTCTGGCCTTTCCTCCTTTACTGTCTCGCTATCTTTTGAACTCACCTCAATTCCCACAAGGCACTTCGACCTTTGTTGAGGAGGGTTCACCTTCAGCCTGAAATCTCTCCCTCTTGGGTGTTCCTGCACCTTTTCTTTCATTATCTTACCTTACTCATCCCACCCTGCCTTTCAGGATTGGATTTTTTATTTTTGGTATCCTCCTCCTTTCTCTCTCATTAAAGCTTGTTCATGTCTATGTCATCAAACCCTTCCTGCTTTCATTTGACACCCATGGAATTACTGAATGAAGCAATGAATAGGTACCACTGTTTCCATAATGAATGCTGAGTAAGGAAGCAGAGTGGTAAACATTTTCAGCTTTCCACCTCGCCTGGATTAAGTTTTTTTTTCGGAGTAGCTTCATAACTTTGAAGTGCTCTGAATTGCCCAAGTATGAGATGCTTCCATATTTATGTGTCAATCTAAAACCTTCTGAAGCCAAGTAGAAGTGAATGGTATTCCTTTTTGTTTTACCTCATTAACTGGGAAAAAAAACATGGATTTTAAAAAAATATTTTTAAAGAAAGAACCCCAAAGATAACAATATTTTTTTCATTTAAAAAATAAAAGTTTTCTTCATGTATGAGAATTTCTATTACAATATGTTAGGAAAAATTTTGCGTCCCTAAAATAGCATAACTGTTCTGTACATATTTACTATTCAGTCAAAGATTTTTCTCTGCCCCTCCCCACCCTCCTTCTTACACAAGTGTTGCACTTTGGTACCATGTCTGTGACAGTATTATGTGGCAGACTGTCTGGTCTGCTTTTGAAATGTGATCAAACTACTTGCTGAAGAGCCTGTGCAGCTTACTTCATACTTCCACATGCCAGCGATTGCAAACCCTCTATGTATTACAAATACGCTTGGTAATGAATTCACATTTTCTTTATAAAAACAAGTCCCCTCAGTGTTGCGATGATAACTACTGAGGCGTAAAGATAAGCTGGTGAGTTGGAAGGGGCTGGTGGAGAGGATAGAATTGGCTTGGGGTCTCTCAGTGCTAAAAAGACATCATGGCCAGCAGAGCTTAGCTCTGATGACAAGACTGATACCGGGTCTAATATGGTGTTTCTGTTACGCTTTTGAAGGTCTGAAGGTGGTTTACCCCTCACTGCCCAGTCAGATACAGATTTGACTTATGACCAGTACTAGTCTCTCTATTAGGAATAATTTCATCGACTGTCCTACCATGTAATGTAAACTCTTCTTAGGTTTCTAAACTCCCTTTGAGAGCTCGAAGCTGAAGAATATCTTTCTTTGTTTCTACATTGGCCAGATTGTATTTTCACTGTTGGAATGAGAATTAATATTCATACTTTAAAGTAAGAGTTCTTTGTACATGTTTGTACCAAAGAGGTTTTCTAGACAAGATGAGTACTTTGACAACGTTTCCCCCTTTTTTTAATTTTTAGGTTGATGCCTTTCCTCCCAATGGTTACGGCTTATACAATATAGTAGGGAATGCCTGGGAGTGGACTTCAGACTGGTGGACCATTCACCATTCTGTTGAAGAAACGATTATTAACCCAGTGAGTATCAGTCTCAGAGTATGTATTGTGAAAGGTTACATCCATCCCCTGGGCAGTCTGTGGCAGCAATTTCATGTGTTTTGGGTATTTATTTTCTATTGACATTAATCTTGGAATTTCCCCAAAGGGATATTAAGCACTTGTCTCTCATTTCAATCTTAAAGCATTGTGTAGACATGTCTGTGGACATTTTATATGCTGCTGGATTGCGATGGTGTTAATGATTTGAGGGAATCTGTCTATAACTTTAGAAATTATTTCAGCCTCATAAGTGTGATCAAAGTGAGATATATAAATAAGTATGCAAGATTCATTAATGTTTATTAATAACTAGTGAGATCTGGTAGATGGTATTTATCATCCAGCTAATTGCCTGAGTTTTCATTGGTTGAAATTTTGGTTGAAGAGCATTGTTTGGAGAAAATGAGAAAGGATGTTTTCTGGGTGAATGTTGAATCAGGAAGTTGAGTCATTTCATGATTATTTGCTGAACTCCACAGTATGGCAGTTCAGTGCATCATAAACCTTGGGAATTGAGACAACCATGTTTAAGTTTTACCTTTTCTGGCATGGGAGGAATGTTGACTGCAGTTAGTGGACTACTCTGCCTCTAAAGCCAAGCTCTCGCAGCAGAATATACAAAAATTGAGACACTACAAAAACTGGGCATGTGGGTGGGAAGTACTTCCTTTAAAAAGAACATGTCTGAATATTTCTTGTGTAAACAGATTGGGGGGAAAATACCATTTAAAAATCCTATCTCTTGAAAACTAGACATTCATAAGTCAGATCCAAGAATGTACATTTATACCAAAACTAGCTAGACTGGGAACTTAATATGTTTAATTTTAAAACTTAACCTCTTGAAAAGGCAGAAAAGGTAGTGATAAAGAAAATTAATTCTTCGATCTCTTCTCAGTAGAGTGTTGAACAGCTCAGAGTAATTGAAGAAATTGTCAGACTCTGTGCCTCGGGCCATTTTTCAGAATACGGGGGTAAATTTGTTTGATATGCTTGATTTTTCTTCACAGAATAACACGTGGATTGCTCATGAATAATCTAGAGACAGAAATCTACTTTCTTGGGGGCAGATGAAAAAGCTGAGTTTTTCGGAAACTGTCATTTCCTCCTTGTTTTCCTTGTAGTTTCTGGCAGGGCTGGTGGAAGCAGTGGTCAAAGACAACCCATCTCTCCAAAATGAGAATAAGGTTGTGAAGTTCTCAGTGGGTTTGTGGTTGGAAGACGCCATTCTCTACTGGCAAGATGTGACTTGGCGTTTGCTGTCAGAATCAGAAATAGAATTTTTTTTCCCCCTCAGATTAAAGCATCTGCATGTTTGGAAGGGGGTGCACGAGGCTTCAAGATGCTGGCAAGTTGTGAATGTATCTCTCTGACCATCTGTTGTTGAGCTGAGTGCTTATTGGTTTCAGTTTTATAATTGCTTGTGTTTCCTCTAAGGATTTACAGAAAAATCCGTATTTTTCTTGTTTTCCCTAGTCCCGGGTTCTGTCTCAGATGTTGTCTTTGGTTATAAATCATTCTCCTTGTAGGTTTCTCTCTGTCACAGAGGCCTCATTTGCTTCCTTATTTGACTGGGATAAAATTCAACAGTTTTGAGAACTAAATCCCAACTCCATTGCAAACTCAGACTCTTTCATTCAAATCTTCACAGCTCTCCTTCGTTTGTAGAGCCACTGCCTGCCTGTCTCTCATCTGCATTACTGCATCAGCTTCCCAGCTGGGCTCCCTGCCATCACTCTTTCTGCTCTACTGCAGCTGTAATGATCTTTATAGAGGACACGCTTAATGCTGTCACTCCTCTTCAGTGTCATGTGTATATTTTAGTTCCAAGACTAAATCATAATGCTGTTTAAAATAAAGTACATACTCTTGAACATGACTTCTGAAGGCTAAAATAATTTAGCCCATGCTGATCTCTCAATGGCCACAGCTCGCTCTTCTTCTTTCAACATTTAATTATGAAATGTTACAAAAATTCGGACAAGTACAGAAAATAGCATAACAGATACCTATGATATCGACCATTTTGATTTAACGTATATTGACAGTATATTGTATTTACTATATTTCTTTTAGCTAAAGAACAAGAACAAAAACTAGTCAACACTTGATATTTGTCAGTATTTTTAATTTAAGCTGTTCTGGTCAGTGTATAGTGCTATCTCAGTGTGTTTTTTTTAGTCATCGTATATGTATATTAAAATTTATTTTGTTGAAGTATAGTTGATTTACAGTGTTTTGTTAATTTCTGCTGTACAGCAAAGTGAGTCAGTTACACATAAATATACACATTCTTTTTCATATTCTTTTCCATTATGGTTTATCACAGGATATTGAATATAGTTCCCTGTGCTTTACAGTAGGACCTTGTTTATCCATTCGAGATATACTAGTTTGCATTTAGTCATCATTATATTAAAGTCTGTACCTGACCACTCTCATATCTGGCCACTCTGTTGATCTGCTTCTGTTGTCTGTTGTTCTTGAATTTTGGTCACATCTTGTTTTCTCACATGCCTTGCTATTTTTGATTGAGTACCAGACGTTGTTTAAGAAAAACTGTGGTGATTATTTGAGATCTGGATAGTGGGATCTTTCTCTAGAGTGGACTTACCTTTGCTTCTGGAAACTTCTATTTCATATTAGCTTATTCCAATCAGGAATTGAGATGATTTGAAGCTGAGCTTCAGTTCCTGTGAGGGCTAGTTGGGTATAGTTCTTCAGGGTACCAACGGACAGTCTAGGGGTTTTCCATGACTTTTCTTCTTTGTAGGGCGCCAAGCTCCAGGTTTTTCTTCCTTGGCCTATAAGTCTGTGCACAGTTCTTTTCAGCTTCTCAGCATTATAGCTGCTGCCATTGGAATCAATAGACCTCTGGGAAAATAGGCTCATCTCTCTGGGCTTCCCTTCTCTCTGGGATTTGAGCCCTGCAGTTCCTCACAGCCCTGATAGTTCTCATCTGATCTGTTTAAACTCCCAATTGTCTTTGAGGTCTATTTTTTTTTTTTAATTAATTAATTTATTTTGGCTGCGTTGGGTCTTCGTTTTTGCGCGTGGGCTTTCTCTAGTTGCGGGGAGTGGGGGCTACTCTTTGTTGCGGTGTGTGGGCTTCTCATTGTGGTGGCTTTTCTTGTTGCGGAGCACGGGTGCTAGGTGTGCGGGCTTCAGTAGTTGTGGCACACAGGCTCAGTAGTTATGGCTCGCAGGCTCTAGAGCGCAGCCTCAGTAGTTGTGGCGTACGGGCTTAGTTGCTCCACTGCATGTGGGATCTTCCCAGACCAGGGTTCGAACCCGTGTCACCTGCGTTGGTAGGTGGATTCTTAACCACTGCGCCACCAGGGAAGTCCCCTCTTTGAGGTCTTAATTTATTTGCCTTTCTTCCCTGATGGCCTGTGTATCTCCAGTGCCTCGCAGAAAACCTGGTACATAATAACTGGTCGTATAATAAAGCCAATTCCAGATACCTAGAATCAAGAGAGTTTGGTTACTGTTCATACTCCAGGTGTTTCAAAAGCAAAGCCTAGTTAAAAACAGATATTTTCAGGAAAAGCTTTGGACCAAAATACCCATGTGATTAGTAAACATTTCAACCCAGGAACTGACCTCTTCTGTGTCATGTGTATATTTTAGTTCCAAGACTAAATCATAATGGCAAATCTTTTTAAATCTTTGGAGAGCTTAGGAAAAGTCAGTGCTCCGTATGCAGAGGCTATTCGGGGGTTGTCTTTTTCTTGTTCAGTGACTTCCAGGGAGCAAATGTTAATCATTAGTGTTTATTTTATTGGGTAGACATTTATGGCAAAAGCAGGTGGTGGGAACACCTTGTGTGCTTTGTACACACAATCCTAGGAGAGGCTGAGCTGTTTGGCCATATGGAGTGAGAGTCAGTTTGGTCTTACCTGGTAGAAGGTTCTTGGGAGTGTGCATGCATGCGTGTGTGTGTTTTCTGGAACTGCTTAGGTAGAAGGTTCTTGGGAGTGTGCATGCATGCGTGTGTGTGTTTTCTGGAACTGCTTAGGATGGCATCACCTCTTCCCACACTGACACAATCCAGAGTGTGGCTGTTGATACTACTGTTTTTTTTCACCCAATAATTATAATAATAAAAGATGATTTGTGGTTTTTTTCCTTTTCAGTTACCTAACCCGGTGACCCTTATTAATCTGTGGTAGTGTGTGGTGCTTTCAGTAAAAGACTATGTAGAGCTTATATAGCATCCTGATTTCCCACACCTTCATCCTCACTCACACTACCCTGGTATCATGCTGACTTGTTTGCTGATGATGTGAAAGGATGGAGTGATCTATAATATCTTTCCCACTCTTAGAGGTACACAGTTTCATTCAGGCAGCTTTTTTTTCCCTAAGGGAAACAATTCTAGTCTTAGAATTAGTCAGAGTAACTTGGATTATAGCTCTGCCACTTAATAGTAAAGGAATCTCTCTAAACTTAGAATATATCTTAAGTTTCCTTATCTACAAACTGGGAATAACTATACCTATCTCATGAAATTGTTGGGAAGTTAGATTTGACAATGTTGTATGTAAAAATACTTTATACCCCAAAAGTACTATTGTGGTGGTGGTTTACTCTTTTTGTTTAAATTATTTTTGGGTACCTAATTGGGATATTGTATGCTTCTGTTCAGCAGAATTAATGAGGAATGTTGGCCTTTGGAAGCAGAGGGGGAGAAAATGATGTTTATAAATAATGAATGCCTAATATTCCTCCTATCCTTATCTTTTGTTAGCATAGTCATCTTTACAATGAAAATCTCACTTCATGGCCCATTAAAGTCCAATGGGAATAAAGTTTTCTAAAAAGTATTCCTCCTCTGAATGAATCCCTGCTGCTTGCCAAATTCTGTTAGCCAGAGATTCTGTTTGTTTTGTTTTTGTCAACGTGGAGTTTGATTGTTCAGCTAGATTGTATAGCTCTAGACATTTTGGGAAGTGTGTTCTGTTTTGCAAGCGTGAATT